AATAGAATAGAATAGAATAGAATAGAATAGAATAGAATAGAATAGAATAGAATAGAATAGAATAGAATAGAATAGAATTCACAAGTGGATTGGTTGAAAATACATAGGTTTCAACCCAGAAGCAGAAAAATTCATACTGAAAAGAGACAATCATGAACATTTAGCACAGTTCTAATTTACAAATAATTTCTACTTCCTTCCTGCATTACAGAGAAAGAGACAGAGAAATTCCTAAGTTACCACAAAGGTTGGAAAGGGGTGGCTGAAGTCAGCCTTAAAGGAACACCACTGAAAACAACTGCTTGCTAGTTTACAGTGCATGAAAATAATCTTGTGTGATGGTCTGTGACCACTTTGGAAAGCTATTTAATTTACACTTGCTGAATTGGAATGTTATTTAACCACCGAAAAGAAAGAGGTGGTTAAACCAGCAACAAGAAGAGTGAAAATTTCCCAATACCAAAGCAACATGAGTTTGCATAAATACAAAGAAATCAAACAGGAATGAAGTGAGATAAATGTTGTGTGGAATTTTTAAAAGGAAATTACAAGAAGTTTAGACACATGGAAGACACATAGGTCAGAATGAATGAAAATACCAAAGATCAAACACTATAGCCATACAATGAGAGGGGGCTAATCTATTTCTCACCCTCAAAGATCAAAAGACATACCTGATGAATAGTGGGATATCAAACAATTGTTAAAGACAAAAGGACTGGAAAAGAAAAACTTTCTTAGGGAATTATCATTGAATCCTTATACCTGTAACTGCTAGCCATTTGCGATATATAAACTTGCTGGCATTTAAATATCAGTGTTTTAAGGACCTTGTATGAACTTGTTATTGTTAAGGATGAGGGTAGTAAACTCGTGGCCCTCCAGATGTTCTTGAACTACAAGTCCTAGTATTCCTCATCATCAATCATGTTAAATGGAATAATTTCTACAGGGCCACAGATATCCAACTCCTGGGTAATAATGCTTGCTGGATTCAAACATTGCAAAAAAATGATGCTACAGGTTTTCACTATGATTTCCATCACTTTTCCAAAACCAATCTACTCAAAAGTACAAGAATTAGCTTATTTTCATTGTGTAAGGCCATACTCTAAAAATAGTTCACTGTTAGAGTTCTTGAATTCATCTTGCCGACCCCAAAAGAGTGTGTATGTATCTATGTATATGTGTGTGTGAGTATGTGAGAGAGAGAGAGAATGAATGAATATGAACCGTTGCTATCAGCTGAGTGTGGTTATGTGAACTAGCCCTACATCACAGGTAAGATGCCACTTGAGATCTACTGTCACTGTAAGAAAGAGTATAAGAAAAGGATGGCACGTGCCAAGTTGTGAAGGAACAATTAGAACAACAACAATAATAAATTTTTATATCATGCAGAGTATTGAGTTGGCTTCATGTGTATTTATCTTGACTGAATCATCAGGAAAAGTAGGACAATATTCTTTTCTAACTGTAAACGGAAGACTGAAACAAAATGGCTTGCTTAAGCAATCTTATGTGCTTAAGGAGTGAAAGGCACATGAACTCTATATCTACAGGTAGTCCTTGGCTTACGTCCATTTGTTCAGAAACTGTTCAAAGTTACGGTGGTGTTGAAAGAATGGACTTACAACCGGCCCTCGAAGTTTCAGCCATTGCAGTGTCCCCACAGTCACATGATCACGATCTGGGCTCTCGAGTGCCCAGCTCACAACTATGACATCGCAGTGAGCTGCATCACATGATCACCATTTGCAACTTTCCCCGTCAGCTTCCCACAAGCAAAGTTAATGGGGAAGCCAGCAGGGATGGTAGCAAGTCACCCCAGTAAGTCATACCCACTGCTTTTTCTCCTGAGGAGCCTACTACAGAATAGGATATCCCAGGGATCTTGTACTTTAGCACCCCCCACCCGCCCATAGTCCATAGTGCATGCCCATCTGCAGCACCCCACCACCCTCCCACGGCCTCTGCTGGCCCTCACGTGACCTCTGCTGATCTGCCTGAGGCCTTTGTTGACCCTCCCGTGGCCCCTGCTGACCTGCCTGTGCTACAAAGTGCCCACGGCACCCCCCCCCATTGTGGCACCCACGTACTTGCCCCCGCTCCTTACTTCCCACCTCTTCCTGCTTAATGACCTGCATATCCTGGGGTTACGATGGTAACCAGGACTGTAGTCACGAAGCAATGCGGTCATGTGATGTTCTACTTTATGACTGCATTGTTTTGCAACAGCAATCCCAGCCCCAATTGCAGTTGTAACCTGAGGACTACCTGTACTTCAAAGGAAAAGATAAATTATCCTCTGGTGTATGTTTCTTATGCTCTGTGACTTGGATCCCAGAAAGAAAGGATGGGACCAAGCTTTTGTGTAAAAGCTTAATACACAGTCCCAAATACCTCATCTTCTCCCCACTTTTTTTTTTTAGTGTTCCTAACAATCCTATGAAGTAGATGAGGCTGAAAGATAGTGACTGGCCCAAAATCATTCAATTACTTTCATGGCTGAGTGGAGATTCCAAACTGGATGTCTCACCTGGACTCCAGCACTCTACTACAACCCAACCTGGCCTCCTTAAATAGTCACTGTTACTGTTTAATTCAGTAATCCATTTTTTAGTTAGCAGTATCAACCTATCCCCTCTTTGCCTTTCATTATAAAAGGATATGGTTGGATCTACCACTGAATTTTGATTTTATTTACTTGTTAAATTTATATCCCGCTTTTCATACAGCTCAAGGTGATTTATACAGCACTCCTTCTTCCTATTTTCCCAACAACAAATTTGTAAGGTAAGTTGGGCTGAGAGAGTGCTCAAAGTCACCCAATCAACTCATGAAGCTGAGGATGGCCTAGAACCAGGGTTTCCCCACCCCTAGTCCAACACTTTAACTACTACACCACACTGCTTTCCTGCAAGCAACTAATTATATACCACATTATATTATGCTTATTTCCTGCAAGCAACTAATTATATACCGCATTATATTATGCTTACTATTGTTATTCTTTATTTTAAGTGAGCAAGTATGGAATTAAGTTTCCATAGTTCAATAACTGCAATATTGCTTAGATTCTTTGTAAATAAGAGTAGGGATCATTTCATTCTAGTTGCAAGCCTAAAAACTTTTTCTGCTTTGTTTGATTTTAGAGCAAAAGTAGAGTCTTTTAAAAAAAATACTTTTATAAATATGAGACTTCATTTTGAGATTTTATATTGATATTCTTTATTTATTTAAGCATTTATGTAAACCAATCTCCCAAGTTTGTAAATTCATTCACTTTAAATTTCATGTAATTTCAGTCTCAAAGGAGAGGGAGCAGAAACAGCTTCTAAGTTCTCAATTTGAATGAATTTGTACGCTATTAAAAGAGTAAGTAACCAGTCAAACAGGTTCTTAGCCACATCCAGTTCTCTTGTTGAATTTTCACTGTTAGATGGTAATGAATAATGCACACAGTAGTATCACTTTACATCCCAGCTGAATAGCAATATAGTGTAATATGACTGAAAAATTCAACAACAAAGCAAATAAGTACAGCTGATAGATGGAAACATACTTAATCTCAGCCTTAATTGAAGGGTCTGTCGAATCAAGGATGATATTAAGTGTGCTTGTTCATAGAATAATTTGAACTGAAAAAAACTGGTTTTCCTACCTGTTGAAGCATCTCTTCTGTAGCATTAAGCTTCAGCTGGTGTCCTTCAAGGCAAACTTCTAAGTCTCGGATTTTTTCTCCTTGGGCTTCAACTTGGTCTGTGAGGACACTCACCTGTAATTTAAGAATAAGAGTGATGATAACAGTAGGAACAACAACAGTGGCAATAGTAACAACATAAAAATAATAACACTTTCAACAATCAGATCTCTTATTTTTAGGCACAATCATATTGCATAAAGTTTTCCAGTTAACTTCATGTCTGAAGAAGGATTTGAATCCACTTCCCCACAGGTCTAGATCTATACAGTCTTTCATGCCACGTGCCTCTTAACCCTTCCCACAAATATTACAACCTGATTGTTAAAAGAGTTTGGTTATTAAAAGACAGTTTAATTCTCACCTTAAAACATCATTACATCACACTTTAAAAATGAATCAATGGGATTTTTTTTAAATTAAAAAATAAAGGAAAGATAATCTATAAAAAATTGACCTGAAGACCATGCACTAGTATTTACATTAAACACTCCTTTGAAGGAAAAAGCCCTTGTAGAAACCCTGTTAATATTTTAAGCAGGCTTTGAGCAAGCAAAGTCCTTTCAGCTTTTGCCAATTTCCCCCTTAAAAGCAGGAAAAACACAAAGCAAAAAACCTTTAAGGAAGCTAACCAATAGCCATTCTTCTTACAAGAAAAGCTCACCTATCAAATAAAGCCTCTGTAACTATTACATAACACAGAACACAAAAGACATGTCTTAGCACTGTCAGTGTTCTATTTCTCACCAGTTCAAAGTATACAAGCTTAAACTTGAATGGAGGATGTATGCAGTGAAATTGCCACAAAGGAAAGAATTATTAACACTACCCAGGGAGATTTAAATATTGCCCATGTAGAAAAATTATTAAGACATAAAAAAACTGAATCCTATAAGAAATTAAGAAATACAATAATACCTGTCATTTTAAAAAATGCACCCTTTGTAGCCCATCTGAAAGTGTGGATTATCATACCAAAAATGGCGATTTCTACCATTCAGATTTTTTTTTACCCTAATAAAACTCAAAGCTTGGAATAAATTGATTGAAGAGCTTCATGGATTTGTTGTATTTGCCTCCTTCCTTCTTTTGGACAAGTTTGCTATTAATAAAAGTTGGGAAGGTACTGTTGAAGATCTATGCATCATATGTAAGGTTTGCCCCGTTCGACAGAGAAACTCCCGTGACACGTGTGGTTCACAAAAG